CTTTCTGAGGAAAGATAGTAACTTGACTGAGGCCAAGTATTATCCTAACTGCGGTTTTAGGATAAGTGGGAATCAACTGTAAGTCAGTAGGCAAAAGTCCTAGCTGTGTGTTGAACGTAAATAACCTATTGTGATAGGTAACTCGGATTGCACGCTCGCAATACTAAGTTAACAAGTTAACAAGTTTCGAATTAATGAGTCACTATTTTTTTTATTTTTTATTTTTTTAGGTTTAATGATGTAGTCTTGCCGTGACATTTTACTTGTTTAAAATTTTACATACGAATTAATAAATAAAAAACCCAATTTTACTAAAAGTAGCAACTTGATGTCATACACAATCTCCATGAAGCCTCTTTTCTTGTAAAAAAGAGAATTAAGATGAAGCACCCCAATTATTGATCATGTAAGATATCTGCCAAGAAACGTTGAAAAACCCACCATTGTTTCTTGAAATTTGTGTTGTTGCTTGTTATCTTTTTATTGATAGCAATAAATATTATTTTTGTTGTTGAACCTTTTATTAAAGAAATAAAAGTTTTTGTTTCATTTTTTTTACAAAACTGACTTCTTCATCAACTCCACTTTCCTCCCCACAACTATTCTTGAGATTGGAAGTTTTTCTTTATCTATGCTTATATGTATATTGTTTTTATGTTATCTAAAAAATTTTTTTTTTGATTTTTTGGCTGCGTCCTGGTGGGAAAAAGATTTTAGGAAGAGTCACTATTTATTGAATTCAGAAAACTTATCTTTTTATACAGAAATACATGTTATTATTACAACTAATTAATAAATAAATAAATAATTATCATAAATTGTTAATATCTTATAACTTTCTGGAAAGCTGCAGTACTCAACTGGTAACTTGTTCATACAAGAAATATTAATATAAATAATAATACCTAACATAATACCAATAAATGATAAATATAAACCTATGCAAAATAAATTAAGAAAATAAAGAAATGTGAACAAGAAAAACCGGTACACACTCTATAAATGGTGTAAAATAATTATTGTTAAACATTATTGATCCCTGAAATTCTTGGTAATACCAATGTTCACTTTGTCTGGTTTTGTTGCAGCATGCCCCAATTAATTTCATATTAACTATTTTTATATAGGGATAGTTCTATATATCACTTAAGATAACAAATGGGATATTATAAAACTGTTAATATGATCACATTACAAATGACTAAATTTTGATCCCTGAAATTCTTGGTAATACTAATGTTCACTTTGTCTGGTTTTGTTGCAAGCATGCCCTCATATATAAATAAATTAATCATGATTTAATTTGATACCCTGATGACGAAATAGGTTACACGTGTTTTTATTCTTTTTCGGTAAATCAACAAAAAACTCTCTCAGAGGTCAACCGAATATCTTATACAAGAACCTCTTTTCAAATAACAGCGCATAGCAAAGCAAAGCAAAGCATTTTTAAAGAAACTAAATATTTTCCGTGCTGCTCAAATTGCTAAAATTGCTAATTGGTAATAAAAAATAATAAAACATAGAAATTAAATATTAATAAAGAACTTGATCTACAAAAATTGGTAATTTAGAATGAGACGGTTGTTTCGATAATCAAACAATGAATATTTGTTTCGCTCATTCATCTTACATGACAATAATGATGATAGAACTACATAAAAATGATCAACATAAAAAGCAAAATTTGATCAATCATTATTTATTTGGTATTTGTTTTTATTTGTACCTTTGTATTTGGAAAATTTTATAATCTAATCAATTTTTTTGATCCATACAAATAATAGTAATGATATGTGTATCAATCATAAATAAATTGATTCTGATAATATATAATCTCATCAAATAAATTAAATTATCGCGTATATATATATAAATATATAAATATATAATATATTGCGTACTTATCCTCTTATTAAATTATTATTTATTTTAACAATAACAATATTTTTGTTAATAAATTATTTAATTATAAAAAACAAATTAAATATTATAAAAAATGTCTAAATTATGGGGTGGTCGTTTCACAGGAGCAACAGATCCTTTGATGGATGCTTTCAATGAATCCATACATTTCGACAAACAAATGCATAAAGCTGACATATTAGGCTCAAAAGCTTATGCTAAAGCCTTAGAAAAACGTGGAATAGTTACATTAGAAGAGCGTGACAGTTTAATAAGAGGACTTGAACAAGTTCTCGAGGAATGGGAATCGGGCAAATTTGAAATAAAATCAGGTGATGAGGATATTCATACTGCTAATGAAAGAAGACTAGGTGAAATTGTGGGAAGTGTTGCAGGTAAATTGCACACTGGGCGTAGTAGAAATGATCAAGTTGCCACAGACTTAAGAATATGGACAAGGGAAGAAGCTAAAAAATTGTTGGGCTATGTTAAACAATTAATCGGTGCTGCCGTTGAAAGAGCCGAAAAAGAAATTGATGTATTAATGCCGGGCTATACTCATTTGCAGGTAATAGATATATATATATATACCTTTAATTTTAAATGATTCATGAAAACTTCCAATAAACGTTATTTATTTATATACAAATAGAGAGCTCAACCAATACGTTGGAGTCATTGGTTATTAAGTTATGCATGGGGTTGGAAATCTGATGCAGAACGTTTGGCACAAATAATTGATCGTTTGAATGTGCTTCCTTTAGGAAGTGGAGCATTAGCTGGCAATCCTTTTAACATTGACAGAGAATTTCTTGCCAAAGAATTAGGATTTAATGGCGTAATTCAAAATAGTTTGTATGGTGTGAGCGATCGTGACTTTGTGGCAGAATTGTTGTTTTGGGCTTCAATGACGATGATACATATCAGTAGATTTTCTGAAGATTTGATAATTTATAGTACCGGCGAATTTGGATTTGTAACATTGGCTGATGCTTATAGGTACCTACATAAATTATATAATCTTTTCCTTTTTCATGATTGAATAAATGTGTTAAATATTATAATAATTAATATTTTTTATTGATTAGTACCGGAAGTAGTCTTATGCCACAGAAAAAAAATCCAGATAGTTTAGAATTGTTACGTGGTAAATCTGGGAGAGTTTTTGGACAGGTAAAAAAAAAAAAAAAAGAAAGATTACAATAATATTTGTTTAATAATACCTAATAATAATGTATTACTTTTAATAAAAAGGTTTCTGGCTTTCTAATGACATACAAAGGTATTCCAAGTACTTATAACAAAGATCTTCAAGAAGACAAAGAGCCATTATTTGATTCAGTTCATACATTGGCAGGATCGTTACAAATTACCACAGGTGTATTGTCAACTCTTAAAGTGAGTGTCAAATGATTAATAATTTGAAATAAATTACTTTCATCCATATATTAACTATATATTTAACTACATATATAAGATTCATCCTGATAAAATGAGACAAAACTTAAGCATTGATATGTTAGCCACTGATTTGGCTGAATATCTTGTTCGCAAAGGAGTGAGTAATCTTTCCTTTTTATCCTAAAATACCTCTATATATTCTTTATTCATCGATTAATGTAAAATTTCTTCTCGTAATTCTTATTGTTTTTACTTACAATTAAAAAGGTACCATTCCGTGAGACACATCACATAGCAGGAGCCGCCGTGCGTTTAGCAGAAGAAAATACTACAACAATGGATAAATTAGAATTAAAAGATTTTAAAAATTTGCATCCTTCATTTGAAAGTGATGTTCAAGAAATTTGGGATTATGAAAAGAGTATTGAAAATAGATCAAGTTTAGGTGGAACTAGTAAAAAAACTGTTTTAGAACAAATCGAAAAATTAAAAATTTGGTTAAAAGATTAATGTTCTTTTTCATCTTATTCTTCCTCAATACATTGTTAATTCTCTCCCTCAATAATATAAATAATTGCATTAATAGATGTCTTTGACTTTTTCATTATTATAATAAAAAAGTGATGATCTTAACCGAAAATAATTAAAAAACAGTATCACGAATTTATTTTTGTAAAAATTTTAATATCGATTCAACCTTTCTTTTTTATCTTGACAATTTATATTAAAAAGATCTAGATTTATTTTCGTTTATTTATTATTTAATTGAACAAAATCAAACGATAAAAAAATAAAATGTCTAGATTTGTTCGTTCTTCAAAATTCAGGTGATTTTTCTTTTGCTTGGACTTTTATAAACATATTATCAAAAAATTTTTTGTCTTACTCTTTCATAAATACTTTTATGATTAATGCTAATTTTTTTTTTATAGGCACGTATTTGGTACAAGTTTAAAACATGACACTTGTTTTGATAATGTCAAAGTATCATCGAGTGCATGGGATACCAATCTTGTGAAAGTTAATTCAGTAAGTAGTTGAAGGAATTTTGCAGTTGTTCATTTTGACTTTAAAATCCTTTCTTTTTGAATCATATAAATTTACAAGATTTTCTATAGAATGAATTCATGTTTTAAAATAATATATTTTTTAAAATCGCGTAATGATAGACATTTGTTGCCATTAATTGGAATGCTGGCGGTGGTGGCGCGTTTGCTGTTATTCCTTTTAAGAATTCTGGTAAGATTATATAATATATATTTATGACTATTTTAATTTTAAAGATTTACAATATTGAAATATCCAAAAAAAAATTTATTTATTGGCTATTTATACTTTTAGGCAAAATTAGTGATGGAATTCCACTTTATCGTTCACATACTGCACCAGTTTTGGATACCGATTTTGCAAATTTTAATGAACATGTAGTTGCCTCAGCTTCTGAAGATTCTAAAATAATGATTTGGAATGTACCAGAAGAACTTGGCGAGCCTGAAAGTCCTGATGTTGAACCTGTTGCTAAATTAACAGGTCATGGAAGGTAAATAATATTGATTTTTAATATAAATTATTGTTGTTGTTGTTGTTGTTGTTGTTGTTGTTGTTGTTTTTGTTTTAATCTATCAATTCATTTTTTTTTGTTTTTGTTAATAAATAAACTTACAGGAAAGTTGGTCATGTTTTATTTCATCCTGTAGCAGATAATGTTTTAGCATCATCGTCTGCAGATTTAACTGTAAAATTATGGGATATTGAAAAGGGCATCGAGAAACAGCAACTAGAAGGATTCCTTGACTTTGTACAATCAATGTCTTGGAATTGGAATGGAAGTTTATTGGCGACAACATCTCGAGACAAAAGAATTCGCATTTTCGATGTAAGATCAAGCAAAGTGGTCCAAGAAGCATCTGGCCATCAAGGCGTTAAAGGCTCTAGAATTGTTTGGCTAGGAAATACTGATAGATTCGTAACAACAGGTTTTTCAAAGATGAGCGATCGGCAAGTGTTTCTATGGAATACGAATGATTTGGAAAAACCGATTAAAAATATGATGTTAGACACATCTTCTGGTATTGTAATGCCATTTTACGATGAAGATACAAAGATATTATTTTTGGCTGGCAAGGTGATTATTAAAAAAAAATTTTTTTCTTCTCTTAATATTACATGATACTAGATTACTCTAACGCATACATACACATTATTAAATTTTAAATGAACGAACGTTACAGGGGTAGGTTAATTTTCAATAAGATGAGTTCTGAAATTAAAGTATTTAATAAGCATGTATCGATCAATTTGTTTTTTTATATGTTTTGCTTATTTATTAGTGATGGTAATATTCGTTACTATGAATTCGAGAACGATGAGCTACATTACTTATCAGAATACAAATCATCTGAACCTCAACGTGGGATGTCATTTTTACCCAAAAGATCTGTTAATATTTCAGAATGTGAAATTGCTAGAGCTTATAAAGTTGCAAATAATTTAATAGAACCAATTTCTTTTGTTGTTCCACGAAAGGTATTTATTATCAAGTATTGATGATTAAAAAAAAATTTTTCTTTTTATTTGTATTAATAATTTTTTTCTTTTTTTCTAAAAATTAATTGATACAGTCTGACGCTTTTCAAGCGGATTTATTTCCACCAACAATTGGTGATGAACCAGCTCTTACAGCGGACGAATTTTTCGAAGGTAAAAATTCAAATCCAAAGATGATTGATTTAGAAAAAGGGTTTCAAGTTAAAGAGAAAAAAGAGTTTGTCTCTTCGGCTCCAAAAGAAGAAGAAAAGGAAGAAAAAGTGCCCAAATCTGAAAAAGAAGTATGTGTGATATAACATTCTTTATTAAAATCTTCCATAACATGAAATTATATACTAATTAAATATATACAATATATATTTAATTATAATAGTATGAAGAGGCATATCATCAATTACGTCAAGAAAATGATGATTTACGAAAACAACTGGCACAACGTGATATTTCAATCCGTGCTTTAACAGCTCAATTGGAACATTTAAAGACTTCCTCTCCATCCTAATTTATTATAATAATGCATTAATGATAATGATTTTAATTTATTTATTTGGTCAAATTAATTTATTAAAATGTTTACTTGAATATAAATTATATTATTGTTAATTTTTTTAAAAAAATGTAAATTTTTAATTATTCATATTCTGTATTTTTTGTAAAACGTGTTATCTATTTAAATTATTATTTATTGTCTGTCTATTAACAGAATAATTTATTGTTGTTGAATGTAATCTTTGTTTATACATAAATCCCAACAGCCATAAACAAGAACAAAGTTCCAAAGCCCAGCAAAAGAGAAGCAGGAATTGCTGTAGAAAATTCTTTGATCAATGATGTCTTTGATGATATTCTTTAATAAAATTAAAGACAATTCATAAACAACATATATTTGATTAGTAATAAGAGATATCATATTAACTAATTTAATTAATTAATTTATGTATTTAAAGGATACACTGAAAATGCACTTGTTACTATAAATCCTGATAATAAAAGTAAAAAAGCTAGGATGGGAAAAGTGGATTGAGGAAATGGTGCAGAGTATGGTGTGGCATTCTGCCAATCAGACTATTTAGGATGGATAATAAATAATCATATAAACGGCTTGTTTTTTTAAAAAAAATATTTATGAAAAAAATGTAAAGAACTTACTAATGCTGACATTTTTATTTATTTATTTTTATTTATTGAAAATTAAAAAATTTAAACAATCAAAAATGCTTTCCAAATTTGGCAGAACAACATAAAAAATAAATTGATAAGCCGGCCAAAAATTTTCACCCTTTTTTTTTAATTATTTAATAAAATTTGATGTCGGTCAATCTATATAAAGTCGCAAGTCATTATCATTCCCATCAGGTGCGAAGAATTATAAACACCATCCTGAATCATTCTATACAAGTCGTCTGTTAAATGAATCAATTCAAAACAAGCCGGATCGTTATTAAACCTTTATCAACTGAAGCTGGATGTTAGGATAGTGATGATGACGTGACGAATAATTCAATTTAAAAAAAAAGGGATTTATCTTATTGTTTCAGACATTATAACCAAAAAAGGGTGTAGACTTTTTTTTGCCTTTGTGTGTATCACTTATACGAAAAAGAAAAAAAAAAAATTAAATTGATGCTTGGTGTGGGATAATAAATAAATGAACGAATATTGTCTTTCAAATATCTTTTGTTCACTCGTTTGGCAATGTTGGATGGAACAATAGAGTATCTTACCATATTGAACAATCGATCACCTTTAAATAAAAAATAATTGAATGATTGATTGATCGAACTGTAAATTATCTTCTGCTGTAGTAATTACGCTTGAAATCCATTTTCTAATAATTTGAAAATTTACTTTTTTAAAGACATATGAAAAATATTGGATTGTGTTCATGTTGTTCAATAGATTGTCAATTAAATGCAACAACACATTTTATATCAGTATTGTTGCACCTTTTACGGAAGAAAGGTGAGTTAATAGAACAGTGCTCAGAGATTGGATGTTTATTTAAAAAAAAAAGGAATGATTCTATTTCTATGACCAAAATCGGAAATTAATAATAACAAACATACCATTTTTTTTAATCTCTATCTACCTAACTGCATTTTATGAAAAAAAAAACTCACTAATACTTTTACTTGTTGACAAATTGGTGAAAGGTGCAATTTATCCAGAAGATTTAACTGAGTTTTCTAAAACAAAAAAAAAATTTAATAAATCACACAACTTTAAATCCTTATAAATCCTTTCTTTACTAATAGATTCTAAAAAGACTCTTTGATAGCTTATTCTTTTGAATCATGAATAATGAAATTGTGGAAATGCCAAAATTTGGCTTATTTTTAACATTTTGGACGATTTTATTAATAAATTAAAAAAAAAAACTCTGTCACTACAGTCAACACCCTCTCTAAATGCACACACTCCTCTAAACACACGCTTTCATCCATTCCCAAGGGGTGTGCACTTAGGGAGGGTATGCGTCTGATTGGTTTGTTGCACGTGATACTAATTAAAAAATAAAAAATAAATTTATTACATATTATATACAACTCTAAAGCATGGCGATAAAAGAAATTGTGTGGGAAAGGATTGATGGCTAATAGTTAAAAATTAATTTTTTTTTCTCATTTTTATGCACACGTGTATAAATTTTTTTTTTTTTGAAAAATTTGTAACATAAACGTAAATTGCTTCCTCATTTGTAAACTTGTTATGTTAAACACTTACTTATTTCTTCCATCAATATTCTGTTGTCGTTCCTTTTTTTTTGGACGATGCGACATTATTTTTTTTAAAAAGATAATTATTTGTTTGATCAATACTAATTATTTTTATTGAATGTCGGAGTTTAAAACACTAATTCTGAGTTTAAAATGTATATTCTTTTATTTCTATTATTAAATGCTGCATCTAATAAACAAGAAATTTTGGAATGTCGGTTGGAAATTTTGGAATGTCAATTGGAAATTTTGGAATGCCTGTTGGCTCGTATCATTTATTTTTAGCTTTCCTGATAATTGAATAATAATATTAATATGTAATACCTTTTGTCGATCAATCAGTCCACTTTACCCGTAATAATAATATAAATTGAACAATAAAGCTAGTCCATCTTATTAAAATTAATTTTCAAATATCACACAAGAATTGTGATAATCATGATCCTTATTAATCAACCCCATTTTGTTTGCTTGGCAATGTCGTGTGTATGTATATATATTCCATATGCGCTGGCAGTGTGTTTAAAAATTAGTAACCTAGAGCAAAAAACAAGAAAACTTTGTCGTATCAGTATATTTTTTTTAAAAATTTTTTTTTTGGAAAAGGTTCAATCAATGTCAAACGGGGCAGAAACAATCGATAACAATCATCATCAATACAAAAATCCCAAAGATATAAATATACACACTTGTTCTAAAGTTTTTCGTAAGTCAATATGGATTTCGTTAACTTTGAGAGATAACAAAACGTTGGTAGAATAAATACGTCCATGATTTATGTACGCTATGATATAGAGTCCGGGGTGAAAGGAATTCGTGCATGAGTAAACAAATAAGAGAGCGTACAAGAAGATAATAAACCTCTGGTATAGTATAATAATTATTTTAAATTATCTGATTGGACAGCTCCAAACGCATGATTTAACGGAAGAAAATAACAAAATAGTGCGATGTCAATTTTGATACAATTGATAAATTTTTATGGCTCGCTAGATATGATGTTCTTTTGGTAAGTTTCATGTTTTTTTTTATCAACCAATAAAATAACATATTTTTATTTGTTTGACGGGAAATATGCTCGATCTTTGTTTAAAAAGGCATTCTAATTTGGTATTATAAACATCGCTTACGTATTTCTGTTGTTGAAGGAAAGACGATGTTAGCAAAATAATCAATTAGTTAGTAAATGGGTTTCATTCTTCAGAGACCTATATGTCAGCGCCTGATAAACTATCACATGACCAAACAGTTTTGCATTTTTAAATTGATGTTACACTAACATTAATATGGCAATTAAAAAAAATCGGCCCTTATCATAAAAAAAATAATTATTACAAGTATGTTGCAACATTTGAGGCCATTATCTCGTTCGTTGATATTAAATCCTAAAAGCAAATCAACTTTCTTTCAAAATTCAAATATTTTCCTTAGACAACGCCAAGTATCATGGGTTCAAACAAAAACTGAGGAAGTTCAAACTGGTGATTATCCTGACTTACCCACTCAATTATATTTACATAGACCACCATTGGGCTGGGATGATATACAAGAAAGAAGAAATATTGGAGAACCGGTTAATTATTCAATTTAAAATATCTGGTTAATGTTTTTTTCTATAATTATTAATTAATTGTTTGTATATTTTTGAAAATATTCAAAAGATTTCAGAAGAATTTGACGCATTAAGCGTTTGGAGTTTTGATGCTTATAAAGGAGATACTTTTAAATGTTTTAGACATTTGTGTTATTTCGGTTTTGCTATTGGAGTGACTACTTATATAATTTATGTGACTTTACCAGAAGATAAAGCGGTTGGTTAATAAATTATTAATGATCGTGAATCAATCGATCAAAAAATTTCTAATAAATATAATTTTTTAGGTTAAAAAAACATATCCTTATAATGGATTATTAGTTGAATTAGGAGGTAATCCATCCAAACCAGAAGATAAATATTTAGCAGTACGTATTAAATTGATTGCTTGTTAATTTATTCCATTCATCCGTCCATTCATCCATTCATTAATTAAATTCAAAATTTTTTTCTAAAGTCACGTAGTGAATAAATTATAAATTATCAAGAATAAATAATTTTTAAAAATCATAATAAAAAATCACAACAAAAATTTTCGTTTTTAAAATTCAAAAATTTGACACACAAAATTGTAAAGAAACAAGCTTTCAAATAAATAGAAAGTAGTAAACATTTACATTATTTATATTATTTACTTATGAATTAGCTTTTGACTTTAATTTATTGTACCATCCACAAAATTTATTTATCTTATTACACAACAGCTTTGTCATTAGGCAAGATAGCTACTAATTCTGTGTTATAACATTGCTAAAGATTTTTTAAACCATTGATAGAGTACATGAGAAAATTATTTTATTTAGATAAAAATATATCAATTGCACCTTGGCAAAGACTTTTTATTTTATTTTTGAACTATTAGTTTCCTAATATTTCCATTGATTTAATTAAATAAATAAGTTCTTATATTTTATGTACTTAAAAATTTAAATTAGCAGCTTAATTTTTTAAATAATAATAAAGTCATAACACATAATAATGAATATTATGATTTATTGGTATTAATTAGTATAAACACACCAATAATTTTATTAATATTAATTACAACAATTTGACCCAGTGTTGGCTTTAAGATGCTTGTTATCCAATTCAAGTCTTTTATTTTGATGATTTTGTTGTTCTTGTGCATGTGTATCAATAAGTCTTTTCTTGATATCCCTATATATAATAATCACATAAATTAATTTATATAATTTTCACCTTGTAAAAAAAATTTATCTAAAAAAAAGATTTACCTTGCCAAAGTGAAGAAAGCTTCTTCTACATTGATGTTAGCTTTAGCACTGGTTTCCAAGAAATTGATACCAAATTCATCAGCAAGTGCCTGACCCTGTTCTTTAGCAATTAATTTCTTTTCAACCCAATCACATTTATTACCAATAAGGATCTTATTAACTCCTTCACTTGCATGCTGTTCTATATTTGAAAACCAGTTTCTTATATCTGAAATAATTATATATATATGTAAATGAATAATTATATTATATTATATTACTATTTGAAAATTATTATTGAGATTAATAATAAAAATATTGATTTTTAAGGATACTGTTGAAAGAACGTTCATCTGTAACATCATATACCAAAAGTATTCCCATTGCTCCACGATAATAAGCTAAATAAATAAATAATTTAAATATTTAGTAAATAAATTACAATTCTAAACCAATTTTTAATTAATTAGTTAGCTACCGGTGGTGATTGTACGAAAACGTTCTTGGCCAGCAGTGTCCCAAATTTGAAGCTTGATTCGTTTTCCATCCAATTCAATTGTTCTAATCTTAAAATCAATACCAATCGTAGTAATAAATGAAGGTGTAAAAGAATCATCAGAAAAACGAAGCAAGAGGCAACTTTTTCCTACTCCTATATATATACATATTAAATTAATAATTAATTGTAATAATTTTTTTTGAGTATTGTTATTAACTGGTGAATTTATTTATTTACCTGAATCACCAATTAATAATAATTTAATAAGATAATCATAAGCAGCACTTTTACTATTACTATGAGCCATTTCTTGTTTTTAATAATTTAATAAATAAAATTTGATTAAATTGATTATAATTATAATAATGAATTTATATTTAACCGTTCGTTATTTTAAATATTAAAAATTTTAAAAAAAAGAAAAGTTTACATATATAGTATACTAATACACACTAATAACATATATGTGATATTTGTACTACACAAGTAAAATAAATATTTCTTGCCAAAACTCGTAATTTTTTGCAGATTTTTGAGGTTGTTTCATATTTTAATTAGATCTGTAGTTTTTTCTCATTCTGGTAAATTTAGAGTCGTACGGCAAAGGTTTCATTTGTAGGGAGGAGAGAAGAGGAAAGAATATGGGGAGGGGGAAAGGGGGAAAGAGCGTAGTTTCATTCATTTATATAAAATGTTATCGCTTGACTCAATCAGGTGACTTTTTGACGCAATTAATTGAGTCATATAAATAATTGAGTCAGACGCAATTAAAAATTGAGATTTTGGGTGAGTCAAAGCCAAATTGATTTTGACAACATGTATATTGTGATCTATGAACATCTGTTTACTTTTTAAAAGAGCCCAAAATCTTTGCTTAGTGCGCATAAATAATTAGCATGTGTTAAAAATGACCGAATTTCACGTATAGTGGTCCTCAAGGCTATGTCTGTCTAATTATTATAAAAATTACAATTAACAATTTTACTTGGCCAGAAATTACTTAAAACTAACCTTTAAACTAATTGTGAAAATTAACAATAAAACATATTTCAGACCTTCTGAAAAATTTTTTATGTTAGTTTTTAAATGTTTTAATGAAAAGTTCAATAATTTTAAGTCACCAACAAATGCACCCAATAGCCTTGACTTGAGGCCTACAGCTCTGATTTTCAAGATAAGAAACATTTGCGTTAAATTAATATTTCTCTCTATTATTTGGGAGAACGTTAATATTTTTTGTAGATTAAAAAATTTTGCAATGGTTACACGAGAAAATGAATTCTCTTCAAGAAAAAAAAATCAAGACTGATAACAATAATTATATTGCAGCACAAAAATTATATTATAATGCTGCATCACCAGGAATAATTTATATCAATGGGCTTTATTCGGAAATGAATAATTCACGCAAAGTTGACTTTATTAGAAATTTTTGTGCAAGAAAAAAAGAAATTAATTTCTTAACATTTGACCATTATGCACATGGATCATCTTCTGGAAATAACGAGTATATTAGTATTGGAAGATTTTATAAAGATTTGTGTTTAATAATGGAAAAAGAAACCGATGGTTCACCAAAAATATTGATCGGTTATAGTATGGGAGTTTGGTTGGCACTATTACTAATTATATCAAATCATCATTATTTAATTGGTAAAAAAATTAAAGGATTGATTGGAATTTCACCCGCAATTAATTTCACTCAAAGTTTAATTGTAGATAAAGAAGAAAAAAGCAATAATAATATAAACCTGAAAGAAGAGAACAACAATAAATTGATTTATAAATTAAAATCATCGTATTCTGATAAAGGTTATTATCCGGTTACTTTAGATTTTGTTAAAGAATCAACAAATCATTACATCTCATCAACATCATTATCATCATTATCAAATGTAATAAATAATAATAAATTTCCTATTGTGTTAATTCATGGTAAGGAAGATCGAGAATTCTCATACAATGAAACTATAAAATTATCAAATTTATTAAACATCAATAATAATCATAATTACAATGGTAGTAATTGTAATTGTAAAGTAATAATAATAAATGATGGAGATCATCGTTTGTCAAGAGATGAAGATTTAAAGGTTCTAGAAAATGAAATTGAAGAAATGATTTCAGATGTCTTGAAATGATCTATTTAGATCCAATTATTGGTTTAGAAAGATCTAGAAAAAATATAAAATCAAACGATTTAATATATTTTTATATGTATAATTAATTAATACTTAAATAATAATTGCAATAATTACCTGGACCATTATTAATGGGCACAATACCAGTTGGATTGATTTGCTTATGACTTTCAAAATAATGATGTTTAATATGATGCATATTTACAGTATCAGCAACTAATAAAAAACAACAAAAAAATTATCTCAATTAGATTTCTAAATTGTTTTAATTTCAGAATTTAGTTGGTACTTGCCTTTTGGAAGTTGATAGATACGTCGTGCCCATTGGAGAATATTTGGATAATCCTTTGAGATGGTTTTAAGATTGGTTTTAAAATGTGTATGATAAACTGGATCAAATCTATTTTATTATTTTAAAAAAAAATATATCAGTAAATTTTATTTTTCCAGGGAATACTTTTTAAACAAATAATTTACCTGATGATAGTTGTCCAAAGTCTGATATCAGCTTCTGTCAATGTGTTGCCTACAAGGAAATCATTCTTTGATAGAATATCTTCTATACGGTCCAAAGATTTAAATAATGGTTCAATATGTCGATTATCTAGTCAATTATTGTTATCATTAGTTATCATATATTTATATTAAAAAAACGCGTTTCAAAAAAATATATTTACATGCTTCTTGAGATGTAGCAAAGCCACATTTATACACTCCATTGTTAACAGTATCATAAACCCAATCATTAACTTCATCAATTTGCGATCGTAAATTTTCTGGATAAAAATTGATTCCTTTTTTATCATCTGGTATTAAATCATCAAATTCTTCATTAAGCATTCTAATAATTTCACTTGATTCATTATTTACTATAGTGCTAGATTTCTTATCCCAAAGCACTGGAACAGTATATCTATATTAATTAAATATGTATATAATATATAATTATTAAACATAAAAAAATTTAATTAAAATTACAACCAGCACAATTATTATATAATACTACCTTCCAGTGTGATCAGGATTGGATTTGTAGTATAAATCTTTAAGATATTGTGCATTATTAACGGTATCAGGAATAGCTCCAGGTGTTTCCTCTGGACTACTAAATTTCCATCCATTTTCTTCCAATAAATAATCAACAACACTTAATCCAATCACATCTTCAAGTCCTTTCAATGCTCTTACAACAAGTGTTCTATGTGCCTAATTATTTGTTTAGATAATTATTATTAATACCAATGATGATGATCATAATGATGGTAGAAGAAATATATTCTTACCCATGGACAAGCAAAACTAACATATAAATGATACCGATCTCTAATTGATTGATTATTTATTTATTTATTTAGATTAAAAATTACGTAACAAATCAAATTTAAATATACAATGAATTAAGTGTTACTTTTCAGGTTGAAACCGGGAATTGGGATCTTTACGAACAAATTCACGATAACTTGATGGTTGTCTGCGAAATTCACCATCAGTTGATGCCCATTTCAAAATAGCTGGTGGACTCTTACTATCACTGTATATTAATAATTTTTTTTAATTGCTGTATATTTTTAATGAATATATTTATATAAATTTTTTAAATATTAACCTGACTTGTTGATTAGACATTTTAGTAATTGACAAATATCTTGAAAACTTATATTTTAAAGGTATAAAAATTTTTGTCCTCTAAATAACGAGTTTATATATAAAATTTTTTATTATAAAGTATATATTATATTCACACGTCGAACATTATTAAAGTTTGTCAATATTTATAAATTTCACCATTTAAATTTTTCTAGTCTTTTCTTTCAAGCTTACTAATTAATATTATAAATTATATATAAATTTAACGAGCGATTAATAATAAATAAATAAATAATTTTAGTCATATCAGCAATAATCTTTATACCATAAATGGAACGATATGCATATCATCTCCCAAGTAACGTGACCTATTCTTTAAAAATTTCCTGTAATATATTCACTAGTATTAATTGATATATACAAAGTTGGTCGTGTATAACAATGGTATCCATGATTGAATCAATACCCTTGCTACCTTATAAGTGGCTTGATAAAATTGATTATGATCTCTATTATATACATCAAAACCGTCAAAATTGTTCATAAATAAGTATTACACATTCAAGACTGCTAAAATACAATTTTTTTGGATTAAATATTTTGGTTTTATACGAATTAATAAAATCAGTTGCTAGAACATAAATGAATAAAAAATTTATGTAATATTCGCACAAGATCAGACAGCAGATCATGGGTCTTTGTGGTGGAACATTGACATTGACAAATCCTTCCTCTTCTATTATGAAATGAACCAATTGATCTTCCATGACCTTCTCCATCCTTTTGTATAGGTGAAGAAGATTGTGAGTAACCACATAGACAGCCATGTTTTATCACCAATGAGGAGCCCTTTGAATAACATCATAATTATTCATTTTCTTTGTTTTCTTTGTTTTATTCAAATTATTTGTTTTATTCAAATTATTTGTTTCATTCAACTAAACTTTCAATTTAATTTGAATATTCATAATGAATGAAACAAATAATTCAAATAGAAATCCTAAGGACACTATTTTTTTTTTCAATTCATATATAAAATTCATTGTCTCTGCAAACTTTTAAACTCTTATTGTTTCAGCAATGCCTTTGAATAATTAAGTCTGTGCCTCCAGAAAAAACTTGTTCACTGGTTGTTATTAGATTAGAAATTAATAAATTTAATTCTAATAAGCAGAGTGGCAAAAATCAGAATACCAGGAACTGCCAAGTAGTTTTTAGCCTAAAGCTCTGAATGGTAGGGAGAGATTCAGTATGGTATAACTCTTGCAGAACATATGGTATGGTATAGCCCATATTTTTTCCATAACAAGTCACACAAAATTTTATTCTAAATCCTTTTTTGGTGGGTGTGAAGGGAAGTATGTTAGATTTAAGCATTGGTATACAACCATTTTATTACACTTATACAATACCATACCATACGTTTTGCAAGAGTTATACCATACTGAATGTCCCTATACTCAGTTCGGTTTTGGTTTGGTTCAAAGAATAAACTGAAACTGAACTGAACCAAACTGAAATTTTTCAGTTTGACTTTTTAGAAACTGAAACTGAAACCAAACCATTTGGAGCTTTATTCCCAAGATAAAACACAATATTGTAGTATTGATGCTACTGCTCATTATAGTTATGATTGAGCCCAAAATGTTCATGTACCCCATACAGATCAACAAGTAAGTAAATTTATTATATTGGTCCATGTAAGATCCATTTATTTAGTATTCAAGATGAAGCAATAAGGGAACAAATTAATTATGTACTTGATGAAAATGAAGTTATAAGAAAAGGACCAATGGCACACTTGGTATGATCTTTGATGGAATCAAGAAATTGAACAAGGGGAAAAGTATTTAATATTAAAGATTACCTGTGATAATGCTGGGGAGATAAAATAAAAATAATGTAACAATTTGATTTTATTTGTATCTAGTAATTTGTGGTTATTATAAAAGTATTGAATTGAATTTTATGGTTCCAGGACATACCAAATTCAAATGTGATGGTAGTTTTGATATTATTAAAAAACTCTACAGAAAAACAAGAGTAGATTGTATAGATCATGTGGTTGAGGTGGTAAAAAAAGTCTAGTCCAGCAACCCTATAGAAAATTTACATATGGAAATTCTGTATGAATTATAATTTTTATTGCTATGGAATGATTATTATTATTATAAAACATATGGAATTTTTCCAGAAAAAATTACAAAGTAAAAGTATACTAATAATTTTATTGTTTAAGTTTTCTATAATAAACTTACAGCACCATCTCATTTGTTATAAAGTTTATCTATTAGCAATTTTTTTTCAATGCCTTTACAATATATAAAAATTTTTTTTTATTTGGTAAGAAAAAAACCTCTCTGTAATCTAAAGCTTAATTTAGTTTCATGTTTGTATATCTTTATTTGAAGGTTCTGATAACAATTTTTATTTATATAGTTTTTGTTTTTTTTTATAAAAAGTTTATTGATTGGCATTATGTACATCACCTAATTCTGAATTTGCCTCAAGTTTTTCATCTTAGATTTGCAAGGCATATTTGATATATCTGTATGAATGAACGACTTCAATTATTTTCTTGACAAAAGTGATATGTGATTTTTTTTGCAAAGCAGGGACATTTTGTGTCTATTTGTATTGTTATTCTGGCAACGATTTATATATATATATATCAATAAAAGGTAGTCAGTCATATAGACTGATTTTAGCATTTTATATTAGCACCACTAAAGCATTACTCTGATAAGGTTAGATGCAGTTTCAAAATCTTGCAATATTACAAATAAATCAGATCATACTAATACAAAGTAAATATTAAAGTTATACAAATCAATCCACTTCAACTCTATCCGATTAATAGTAGAATGGCAGGCATATATTTTTATGCTTTATTTCTTCTTTAAAGTAACTATTATCCATTATCTTTTTTTTTCAATGTATTTGATTTAGCTGTGAGATGCAAAGCATCATATTATATAATAGCAAAAGTTATATCAATAAAGAATTTGATTTTAGGTATTTTTGTATTCACATCATGTAAAATTAAAGATGATTAATTTCTCTTGGCAAAGCATGGCAATAAGTCATGTGTAAAAAAAGTGACATATTTGTATGACATACTAATATAAATAAGCAAAATCTAGATTTATGTGTGATCAAATTTTTATTATACCACCCACCATGTCTGAAAGTGCTATTCTAATGCCATTCATCTGCAAATGGTTAGGTGCTCATTCAAAACCACAGTACTTTGAAACCCAGGAAAAACTTAGAAATCACATTGATAATCACAACATCAATTCTTGCAACAAAGCTTTTCGAGGAGACCCAATTTATATATGTCCATGGGAAGGTTGCAAGAAACATCAGAGTGATATTATTAAATTAGAAGGTATAAAAATATGTCAAATACTTTTTGGCTTTGCTAGCTCCACCAATACTAAGCTATTATTGTATCTTGCAGAACATTTACATAAGCACACTCAACAAAGACCATTTAAGGTACTCTCAAAAACCATTACTTTGTTTTGTAAGCACAAGAGTGGCTGAAATGATCGTATCGGCTTTTTTTTCATATTTAGTGTCCAATTTGCAATGGTTTGCGATTTGGCTCCCCTGATGCACTAAACCGACACTTGATTATCAACCACAATGATAGCATTGTGGACTCTACAGGCACTGATGATGATACATTATATGATGAAAATGAAAAACTGAATTTAGGTACTGTTACCACAATTCTCTCCTCTATTTAAAATTTAGTGTGGATTGCAGTTAAATAGACCTTTGAATTTGCATACCTTTTATTTAATAGCAAAATATTTTTAGCCTAATTAAAAAACTATCATTATTATTATATATGATGAGTTATATTTTTATTTATTTTCTTTTCTTGTTAAAGGAAAAGTCAAAGATGAAATTGATGTTCTTGTGAAAGAAAAAGCCAGCAAAGATGAAGCTGCCATTCTTATTAAAGGAAAAGACAATCAAAATGAAATTGTATCAACAAGTCATACCACAAAATTATCTTATCGTGATGTTCTTGTTAAAGGAAGAGTTGATGAAAATGAAGACACAAAAAGTTTTATGTCTAGACGTTATGAATATGAAAGTGCCATATGGGATTTATACTGTCAAGGAATGGAAGCTATCTCATTATTGCCAGATGAGCCAGTAGTTGATTATGATTTGGATAATGAAAACTATGATGATTTACCTGATGTGCCACAGGAAGAATTGTCCGAGGCTGAACAGGACAAACTTATGTGGGAATCATTTTTTGAAGCTCATAAGGGTTCGAAGGCTGTTGAGTTATTTAGTAAAGCCTTTGAAATGTTGGAGAGCATGAAATCTGGGTCATATTTACAGCAAAAATAGTAAAAATTCTTATCTTTATAAAATATTTTCCTTAAAATAAATGAAAGCCTACAAAGTGAACATGAAATTATAAAATTATATATATAGGGATAAATGTATATGAAAAGTAATAATAAATATAATGGTACTAATGAATATCAAAAGGCAATTGATTTTTTAGAAAAAGGTTGTAATTGTGATTGTTCTTCAAGAATTCCCAAGGAACAATTTGCAGAATTAAGGGAATCCTTTCAAGTTCTTTCTAAATCAGAACAAGACATATTTTTAATGGCCCAGCTTAAGGCAATGGATGGTGGATTAACAAACAATAGTAGACACCTTAAAAAGAAAACTAGATCTAATAAAAGAACTTTCTATCATTGGATCACAATACACTTTGCCAAGAAATTTATCTCAATATGTTAGGAATTGGCAGAACTTATTTTGAAAATATTAGAAACCATCTAATAAATAATGGCGTTTTATCAAGAATTCATGGTAATATTAAAAGAATGCCTCAATGGAAAACTAAAATATGATGATTGATAAAAATATTGCAGAAATAGTAAAAAATTTCTAGAAAATTATGCAGAAATTCATGGATTACCAAGTCCAGGAAGAAGTAACAATAGAATAACTCAACCAATTACATCCTTACCAGCTGAATTGAGTTATAAATCAGTCCACAGGGATTTTCTAACTGGTCCAGAAGAAGATAGTAATTTGAAATCCTTAAAATATGATGCCTTCAAAAAATTGTGACATTAATTGACACCAGAAATTCAAATTATGAGTCCAAGGACTGATTTGTGTGATACTTGTTAACATTTTAGAGATGGTTTACATTATAATGCTCACCAAGAAAAAGAAACTCAAAAGATTTAAAGAACATCTGTCCAAGGCAAGTTTAGAAAGAAACTATTATAATAAAAATACCAAATTAGCAGAACAAAGAGAACTAGTTAACAAAATTATTCAAAGGGTAATACACAATATTGCAGTATTAATACTACTGCACATTATAGTTATGATTGAGCTCAAAATGTTCATGTGCCTTATTTAGATCAACAAGTAAGTAAAATTTGTTATCTTAGTCCATGTAAAGTTCATTTATTTGGTATTTAAGATTAAGCAGCAAGAGAACAAATTAATTATGTTCTTAATGAAAATGAGAATATAGGAAAAGGACCCAATGGAACTCTTGGTATGATCTTTGATGGAATTAAGAAATTGAACAAAGGTGAAAAGTATTTAAAGATTACCTGTGATAATGCTGGTGGACAAAATAAAAATAATGTGACTATTTGATTTTATTTATATTTGGTAATTTATGGTTATTATGAAATTATTGAATTAAATTTCATGATTCCAGAACATACCAAATATTTAAATGTGATGGTAATTTTGGCATGATTAAAAAACTCTATAGAAGAATAAGAGTAGATTGTGTGGGTCATGTGGTTGCAGTGGTAAAAAAGTCTAGTCCAGCAGGATTAAATAAAGCTCAATGTTATGAAGGTGGAAAAGATTTTCAATACTTAGATATTAAAGCTATTTTGGGAATTTATTTTAAGAAATTACCAAGTATACAAAAATGTCAACATTTTCTTTTTGAAGCAATTAATTTTGGTGTGGTCAAAGTTCTGGAAATTGCTAATGGACCTTTTGCTGAATTCAATTTATTGAAAACCAAGAAAGCAGATATTTTGGAAGAAATTAGAGCTTTA